GACACCGTACTCAGTAGAAGGGCATCCTTCAAAGACTACGTGGCAAGTAAAAGTAGGGCTTTGGGGTTTGGGGTGTAGGGTTCAGGGTTTAGGGTTCAGGGTTTAGGGTTTAGGGTTCAGTGGTTTGGGGTTTAGGGTCAAGGGGGTGTAGGGTTTAATGGTGCAGGGTTTAGGGTTTAGAGCTTAATAGTTAAGGGTTAAGGGTTTAGGGTTTAGGATTTAGGGCTTAATGATTATAGGGTTTCGGGTTTCCCTAATGTTTATAGGGGTTAATGGTTAAGGGTTCAGGGTTTAGGGCTGAAGATAAGGGGTTTAGGGTCAAAGGGGTTTAGGGTTTAGGGCTTCAGGATTAGGTTTTAGGGCTTAGGGCATTGGGCTTAGGGTTTAGGGTTTATAGGGTTTTAGGGTCTAGGGCTTTGGGTTTCGGGTCAAAGGGGCCTAGGGTTTAGGGTCAAAGGGGTTTAGGGTTTTGGAGAAACCCTACCATCTAGTATATAGGTACTTAGGAACCCTTAAAGGAACCCTGAGCCCGTAAAGGCATCCTTAACGGAACCCTTAGAGTAACCCATTACTCTAAACCCTAAACCCCCAACCCTAAGCCCTAAACCCTAAACCCAAACCCCAAACCCTAAACCCCGAACCTTTCAACCCCCTCTGAGAGGTGAGAACCACGCAGAAGACGAGGAAGCTGGCCTGCACGGATCCAACATCATCCTCGAACCTGGCAGGCCCGTCTCCCGTTACCGTTTAGCCCAGAGACTCCAATATCCCTTAATTAAGGAATATACCTTAAATCATATATTAGGGATCCTACTATAATTTAAGTTATGTTCCTTCATTAAGGGATATTGGAGTCTCTGGGAGTGTTTAGGGGTTAGTGGTTCAGGGTTTAGGGGGGTTTTCGGGTTTAATGGTTTAGGGTTAATGGTTTAGGGTTTAGGGTTTAATTAATGGTTATAGGGTTTAATGGTCAAGGGTTTAGGGTTTAAGGGTTTAGGGTTCAATCCCCATGGAGGCTCAATATATACTACCAATATGGATTGAGGTCCCCATCTCCTGTTACTTTGTGATCACAGCAAAGGGCTGATAGTGTTGAGGGTTTACCTTATTTTCCAAATAACCCTACCCTTTTAAGGACGTATATAAGAAATCATAATACAGGATGCAAAAAAGGTCAATACCCAGATACGACGATTATGGAATTAGGTCCTTAGAACCATAATAGGGATGGTCTTTTGGAGCCCCAAACCCTAAGCCCTAAACCCTAAAACCCTAAGCCCTAAACCCCTAAACCCAAAGCCCCAGGCCCTAACCCCTAAACCCTAAACCCCTAAACTCTAAACCCCAGGCCCTAACCCCTAAACCCTAAACCCCTAAACTCTAAACCCTAATTCCATAGTGGTACTATCTGAGGAGCTCCCGCTGGGCTTAGGGTTTGGGAGGTCGTGTTCAGTGCTTCCTTGTGTTCTTAGGCCTCTAATTCAGGGGGCCTTGACAATTACCTATACTATTTTGGGCGGTTCCTTATTATAACTATGGTAAAATGTACCCCCGAAAACCTTATTCTAATTATTAAGGCCCCTACATTATGCTCGTGCCGCATGGCTATCTCTTTTTCAGGTGTTGAAAAGGCTCAGCCTGTCAGTAAACTTCTTGTCCTGCGTCATGCACTCCGCAGCATGTTGTAGCTTCTGGACTCGCATTTACATGTGGGTAGTTCTCTAAATCAGGGTCCTTTTTAGGGTCCTTTTTAGAAGAGTGCCGTACTATATTGGGGATCCAAAAAGGGATCCTAATTTAGAGAACTACCCATGTGTGCTTTATCGTGTGAAATATGCCAGGCGGCAGCAGTGCATCAAGGTCAAGCCCTTGCATGCTGCATCCCAGCGGTACCTTCCGGTCTTGCTGGAACTTGCTGGTGGCTGCCTTTGTAATGTACGACCTTGTTGTCACCCCCTTGCCTCCTGGCAAGATTGACAGTAATTTGTTCTCTGCTTTCCTCGCGCGCCGAACCCTCAACCCCTAAACCCTGAACNNCCCTAAACCCTAAACCCCGAACAGTATATCCGCAACCGCACTGTAGCTCGTGGCACCCTTGAGGCTTGTGTTTTCACTTCCGAGCTGGCTGTCCAGATATCCCGTGTCGCTTGTGGTCCAGCTGTTTTGGAGCTCTGACTTTGTGCTCACCTTCCTCACCGGCTACTACCAGAAAGGCTTCCTCATCATGGAGCGTTGCAAGGCTGCGCGAAACTATGCTCAGAGTTGGATGTACCCCGATTGCACAAGGTTTTCGGGCGTCAGTGCTTCGAGGCATTTGCTTTGGGAATTCGAGGTTCGCAATGTTTCTGATCGACTCATCTGACAGCTACAAATCCTCCTTGAGGTCATGCCCTTCCTGCGGGTTCCTTCTTGAACTCGGACTTTAGGCGCGTGTACCGTCCGGGGTGCCTCTTTACTGCTTGTGCTCGAGATCCCCATTCTAGGCGCATCTCTCTGTGTGCATCTAAGCACTTCTTCGGCATGTGATCCGAAACCCTAAACCCTAA